TGTATGATTATTATTCTGTCCCATTATTTTTGGTCCCTTAACAAGTGGGAGGCACATATGCAAACATCCTACACCATTCACCTGAGTTGGATGTACATACCCTCAAATTAAAGCTGACAGTCTGCAGTTAACGCACATTGTGTTTGTTTCATTCCAAATCCATTGTGGTGTATAGAGCCAAAGATGTTAGAATTGTGTCGATGTCCCAATATTTCTGGACCTGATTGTAGGTCGATTAAGCCATTGCAAGTTTTAAGTTAGATAGTGTATCTTCCCTTCCTTCCCTCAACCTGCACACAGATTTTAACATTGCTCAGAATTTAGGAGAATGAAAAAAAAAAAGAAAATCTTTACCTGTTTACTACACCTTAAATAGTCCCAAAGCCAACATGCAGGACCTAGGCTGAAAGTTAACAGCAGACATGTTTCAAGACAAATATAAAAGCATGCTTTCACAAAATCATGTCATTTCTCTTCCTGGGATCACACATTACCATCATGAATGTTTTATAGTAAAGCAATGCTCTTTTATGTATGCTGTGCACAATTATCCATTATTTACAGCACAATCATGCAGGGTTACTCAGAAGCTCCAATGAGTTTTATTCAAAGTTCCTTATGCACAGACTGCAGCTGAAGTTTCTTACACTAAATGAAAATTTCTTCCTTCCAGAAAAGATAATTTCCAGAAGTATATGATATTACAGGACATCTTTTTATGTAAGTTTATATTGGGATTTTTTTCAGATTATACACACTTTACTCCAGTTATGTAGGTCAAACTGGACTTAGTTGTAACATGGAAACTTGGCTAAGAGAAGAGGGTGTTCATCTCTCCCAACTCAGTCTACAAGATTGCTCCACGGTTCAGCAGACATGAACTAAAAGGCAGGAAGATGGAATGGCTGAGGTCTATAGGAATTACACCTAACCAACCAGAAACTCTACCAATTCTGAGAATATGCTGCTACCCTGAGGAATTTGGAATTGCCCCCTAGTTAGAACTGGTCAATAACCATAACAAAATTATTACCACCTGAATTATTAGAGTAATGTCCATCCCACTGCCTATCAGTTTCTCTTTCTGAACTAGCCATGGCATTGGATTAAGCTTCCAGTCCAGGGGATTTAAATGGCCATATCAAAGTTACTCCTTGCTTTTCTGTATTGTGCATTTCCTTAGGAATTTTGCATGCATCTACAATCAGTCCCAAGGAACAGTATTACCCTCTCCTAGAGCTACAGGTACTGAATTCTACTGAATTCTCCTGCAGGATTCAGTGCAAGGCAAAAAACAACAACACTGAACCATTCCACCCAGTTTAGTCTATTATAACAAGGGAAAAGAAATCTTGCTGAATTACTAGATGTTCAAAAGACGCATCAGTATAGTCCAGTTGCATGCAAAGCGACCTGGAAAAGCCCATACCTGATCTCTTCCTCAGGACTATGATACTTCCACTGGATTGGTTCACTTGTAGGTATGCATATATCATCAGAACTGGACAACGCAAAGTTTACTTTTATTCTAGGGTAAGGAGTCGCTTTGCTTGCCTGGTCAATTAAAAAAGAAAAGTCAAGTCACACCATAAAAACAATGTAACGTTTCTTGGTAAAAGTAACACATCTGATATTTCTGTTGAGTGCTCACAGCTTGCAGAGACTTGTGCTTCATACATATTATGCTAAGTTTATTTATAAGGAAAAAAATGAAAACACAAGCAAGAAATTCTTACTGCTAGGTTTCGGGACGATATTTCTGCTCTATAACTTCTGACATCTTCTAAATCCAAAGAGGCAACAAGGACTTCCTGAAAAAGTGACAGAGAAGTTAAAATCCTTCAAGGTACAACATTTTCAAAACCATTTTCCACAATAGGTCCGTAGTGGAAATATAGTGGAACTAGTTATGTAGTTTACATTATACAGAAGCACTTCAAGTTTATTTAACCCCACTGATACCAGTAAAATTCCTGTTATGTGCCAGCACTGACACATAGGAGTGTTCTTTGAATAACATATGAACTAATACTATTTATTTATTTATTTATCATATTTATATAGCCACCCATCTCACACCAAGTTACTCTGCACTATCAAGTATTACTCCCACCACGAAGCATTACTATGTCATCCAGTGAAAACTGAAGTCCTTGAGCAACAGTGTCACCATTCATAGATATCATGGCACACCCATCATAATACAAGCGATCACCATCACAGCCTTTCTGGTTTGCCAAGACGTAGATCCCTCCATTCTGGAAAAAGATACATATTAAGATACATGCATGTGCTGCCAATTACAACTATGAATTTTTAAACTTATTTAAGACAGCACAAAGCATCACTATCTGGGCCATCACTGAAGCAATATGACCATCCAGGGGCATAGCAGTGTTTACTTTTGTGTGAAAGCAAGTTAGCACATGCCAAAAATGCATTTCACGATGGCAGTGGAACAATTATAATCTGTTTTCAGATTTGGAATCCTTCTTTAATAGGTACAATGTAAATGCAACCAGGTACTTGTCTACATACACATAATGTTTTCCTGGAGTATGTACTTTTCTACATACACGTAATTTCTTCCTGTACGAAGTTATAAGGGAGAAGATGTACAAAATAGATAAATGTCACAGAGCCTTATTTCCATCATCATGAAAGCCAATGGATTCACAAATTATCCTGAGCCATAGTAACAACAATTTAAAAAATTCCATAAATCATGTAAAAATATATCAGGAACATACCTTTGCTGTTGCAGAATTTACCAAATCCACTCGAGTGTGCGCTTTTCTTAACACATGGTGACTTGCAGAGGAATTTGTGAAGATTTCCACTCCATCAATTCCCATTTCAATGTGAGGGCTGTAAAATTGAGCAAATAAATAGTTTGCCACCTTGCTACCCAAAAAGATTCATTTTATCAAGTCACACCACAGAAGAGGAAAAAAACTGAACAGTTAATGGAATTTGTAAGAACTACCCAGCAGGAACTTCCTGTTTGTTTGAAAACACAATTTCAGTGAAATTATTGTGATTGACTGATTGACTGACAATAATGACAAGATGGAGGTTAATTTTAGTGGCTCAGTATATTTGAGAGGTAGTGGTGGTATATGAAGTGAGAACTGTTGAAGATCTCTCCTCTGGTACTGCTGGAATTGTTGTTGGGTTTTATAAAACTTACTTGTACTTAATGGTGAAGGCTGGAGCAACTGGAGCCTCTGAAGCAGCCAGCAACCAGCTTTGGGGAGAGCTGGCTCCCAGATATAGTTGGGACCATCAGAAACAGTCAAGGAGCTAGAGAATATGCTGGAGGCACAGCGACTTGGTCAGTCTTGGGGATCAAATATTCAGCTACACATGACAGTGGTGCGGAGCATTTGTGTGGGAGCAGCAGACGTATACCCAGTGGCTTCTGTGGCTTTCTCATTTAACTGATCAACGGTGGTGATGTCAGCAACACAGATATATATGGCCTCAGTGTGCTGGAGACCTAGGGTGCTTCAGTGCAATGAATGTTAGAGCTCTGGAGGAAGTGGATTATCTGGAGCCCTTTCAGTCAGGTTTCAGGCCTAGAACTCAAATGGCATTGACTGAGCTTGAAGATGACCTATGGCAGGAGTGGGATGGGAGCAGAGCATCCACCCCAGCCCTCCCTGATCTCTCAGCAACCTTCAGTATCACTGATCATAATATTCTTCTGGACCAGTTCAATGGAGTGGGAAGCATAATATTATGGTGGTTCTCCTCCTTCCTCCAGGGTCAGTTCCAGTCGATGGGGAGAAGAGGTTCAACCCTCAGCTCCCGCTCTGTGGGGTACCTCAGGGCTCGATTCTCTCCCTGCTCCTATTTAACATTTGTATGAGGGCAGTGTGTGAGATTATCCATTGGGACAAGGTTAGTTATATATCTCAACACGTGGTTGTCCAAGGGATACTGTTCAGGTTCTGCCTCGGGGTCTGGGGGCTACAGGAAATAGCATGGGGGGAAACAGGCTCAAGCTCAACCCTAGTAACAATGAGTGGCTATGGATTTGGAGGCCACCTGGATCCAAGGAATTTCCTTCTTTGGTTCTACATAGGATTGCATAATCCCAAACAAACCTGATACACAATCTGAAGGTTTAAGAGTACCATCTGGCAGGGCCCAGGAGACCTGACTTCTCTGTTGCCATGCCTGCCCTATGGAATAGCATTCTCCCCAAAATTCAGATGGCCCCAATCCCACCAGCTTTTCTGAAGGCTCTTAAGACTGCTTTTTCCCCCAGGCACGGGTCCAGAGGTTTTGTGCCCATCTTGATTATTCTAGGATTGTTCTTAGTGGGATGAAATTGCCTCAGACATGATACACTTTATTATTTTTAATATTTTTGTTATTGTGTGTTGTTTTTATATATGTATACTGTTGTGAGTCTGGTTAAATTGATTTAATAAAATAAAATAAATATTTCCAGAAAATACATTTTGACTTTCTGCAACTGATATACTGGTCTCAAGAATCCCACTCTACCACCGCATAAATCATGTACCTAGCAAGAATAAACCTGCTACACTATCTGTCAGGATTAAACCATCTTTGGATTTAAACAACCTATGAATTGTTACCATTTTATTTGACAGAAGTGGCTTGACTCTACATTCAGAAAGTGATGGCAACTAATAACCCCTTGGATAGCTTCATAAAGTTGGATGGAGCCATTTTGACCATCAAGGCCAATCCCCCAAAAGTATTCCTGACAGATCCAGTGAAGAGAAGTTCACCGCTGAATTGTGGTAGCAGGTCTACATTCCAGCCCAAAAGTGAGATTATGAGATTACTTGGCTTTTTTTGTGATTGTCTTGGTATTAAGATATAAAGAAGGATAAAGATCCTCTAACAAAGACCTTGGTATTAATATACAGGGACCTTCAATATAGTACCCATCAATATTTAGACACTACCATATCAACATATATCCCTAATAATTATGACATTTCCATTTGGGCAACAAACATATTTGCATAGTAATCTGTCAAGCATTGGTTTGTTATGTGCTGTTTTAGCAGAAGCCTTGAGGGAGGAACTACTGAAAAGTCCAAAGTAAGGTACTGAAGAAACAATATTCAATTGCTTAAAGGACTTCTTTGGGCACAGAAATCTTTGTGCAATTAACACTTCTAAAGAGAAAACTTAAGCTTATCCTTTTTACCTGGTTGGTATCCATAATTCTTCACAGATTTCAGTCCCTATGCAAGTATCTAAAGTTGCTAGTACCGCATCACCAAATGGAACACTTTCCTAAGATAAACAAAGAATGAGGATGGACCATCAGAGGGGAAATAAAAGGAATCCATAACTACAAATTTGATCAATAGAAATGAAGATATTTGTCCCAAACTGTGATTAAAACAATTGTACAATTGGCTCCTCAACATCCAAATGCAAGGATGTTGTGCAATTGTAGATTATAAATATACATTATAAATATACAGAGGCAGTAGGGCAATAACTCAATGATGTTGTGCAAATGGTTAGGGATGGGGTGGGGGTGGGGGAATGGAATGCTTGGCTGTAGGTTTACATAACTTCTATTCTGCCCTAATTCAAAAGACTCTGGGTAGCTCACTTAAAATCATAAAACCTAAAAACACTGAATTAAAAGCAGCTCCCACAAGAACACCTTAATTCCCGGCTGCTTGATGAAAAATATGGTCTTCACCACATTATTTTTATTTATCATATTTATATAGCCACCCACCCAAGGTGACTCTGGGTGGCGTACAACAATTAAAAAATAAACACATAAAAACAATTACACATAAAAAACTGTAAACTTGGCATTTCAGGATGTCAAGAATACGAGGACCACCTGAATCTCAAGGGATAAGCTCTTCTAAAGGAAGATAAAGATCAAGGATAAGCTGCCACTGAAACAACTTGCTTCTATGCTTCACTCAACCTCCCAAGGGGAAGGAATCTGTTGCATCCACCTCCAAGCTAATCTACAGAATGGGCACATTCTATTCAAAAAAGATGGTCCCATAGAAAACAAGGGTCCATGCCATACAGGGCCCATTATCAGAACTTTGAATAGTTCTTGGAAACATACTGACAGCCAATGCAGTGTCACACTGCAAGGTTCACGCTGCTAAAGTGGATCTCACTTGCTAGGAAGTTGGCTGCTGCATGTTGTACCAAGTTTCCAGGTAGCCTTCAAAGCAGCCCCAAGTAGAGACGAACTTTTGTCCTGTTATTATTTTCATACATTAAACTTTTCTCTTTTGTATGCATGAAAAATCTGCTGCTATTCACTGCTGAATTTTAGCACCATGAGTTCTGCAAACTCCAAGGGATGCAAAGAAAAGATTCCAGGACTGCATTCATCCTGTAAGCAACGGGTTGACTGCCCCTATTTTACTGTTTTCTGAAACCAGAGTTTAACTGAGTTAAAATATATCATCTACCAAGCACAGTCAATTTAAATGCTGTGGTATGGACCTCATGTAAGTCCACTGTAAACTTCGAGTACAAAACATTTGGAAATTATAAATAATATTTCTTTATGCTACTGAGTAGCAAAGTTAATGTCTTGCATTTCACAGGTATCAGCAAGTAACTAGAACAATGAACTTTTTAAAATTTAACTGTATCTCAAAAGGTAAGAGAAAGGAAGCAAGATTAAAAATGACTGGTTATACAACCGCAATACCAAAGAGGCTAAGAAAATCGTCATCTAACTTGGTGCTTCCCCATATGGTAGGACTACAACTCCAAGAATTCCGAGACAGGAAAAACTTGTACTTGTATTTCATTTTAGCAATTTACCTAGACCTTCAGAAAACTAAAATATTCTCTTGAATCCAAGAGGAGAGAATCTTACCTGAGCTGTAATCTCTTGTATCATTCTTGGAAGAAAATATTCTTCTACATGCCTAATAAAGAAGAAAATATTTTTCAAAAACTTTCACATAACACATTTTAGACAGACAGAAAAAGTTAACAACCTTAGTTGTATCTGTGCCACATGCAACTTTCCTGCTAATGGTTAAGTACAGTACTGATCAGTTTTTGCACAGATGGCCCTTTTATTTGTAGTACTGTTATCCTTGATTTGGGGTATCTTTGACAGAGACCAGACCCTGGTAAGATCATAAAGGTTTTCCCATCATTGCGGTTTGGGTCTTATTTCTGTTACTTTGTGCATGCACAAAATGGCAGACGGGATGTAGGGGATATGTAACATGTTTTTTTAAGGGTCCATATTAGGTCTTCTGTAAAATGTACTCTAGTGCTGTCCATAGACCACTCACAGCTCACTGTGAGCAACTTGCAGACAGCATTACCATCCTGCGGTGCACCTGATAGATCCCTTCAGCACCATAATCAAACAGCCCCACAGAGCAGGTAACTGTGAGCCACATGGTGTGAGAGGGACAATTCTTTCCATTACCAGCCAGGCAAGCTGCTCTGAAAAAGGAGGGGGCCAGCTGCCACAAGGAAACCATGTACAGCTGACCCAGCAAGATCCATCGAAGCTGAGTGAAATGGATGAGCGCATATTGGTACACTGCAGAGATGCGTGTGGGAAAAAGGTTAAACATGAGCGCCTGTATGCCATAAGCACAACTAGCTCCCAGTCTTACCCCAATTATGTGTACATTATTCTATGCAAGTTAGGATCGTCAGAATCTATCTTGCAAACCTGTCTGCCAACATATGCTGGTATATGCAGTAATGACCCAGAACACAGGGATGCTAATTTCATAAATATTTTTGAAATAGCAATGCCTTCTGAAGACCTTTTAATACAAATGTACAGTGGCAAACATCAAGAGCCAACTCAAATTTTCAGACTAATCATGGCAGGAGCAAACATAAAGAAGAGAGGCTACCGTGATCTATTCCAAGGAGTGAACCATCTCATTTCCCGGTAGTTTCCTGAATTTGCCAACGCTATCTTTGGCCGTATCAGAAGAAGTTTCCTTGAGAAAGAAAGGAGGAAAGGAAGAGAGTGAGTGAGAGAGAGAGAGAGAGAGAGAGAGAGAGAGAGAGCGAGCGCTGTTACAAGCACACACAATGGAACCAAGCAAAAAGGAGGACATTTGTTTAAAGTCACAACTGACCATATTTGAAAAATACCAGATCCAGTGAAAGAGAGTTCAAACATGAATTCTAGACTACATGAACAGAATTATAACAAAGAGCTATGGTTCTAGCCATGTCATACTATTAAGGAAGTCCATCTAGTGGGACTAAGAACAAGGGCCTTCTCCATGGTGGCTCCCTCCCTGTGGAACATCATCCCCACAGAGATAAGGCTAGCCCCCACCTTGATGCTCTTCCGCAAGGCCCTGAAGACAAGGTTGTGCCAGCAGGCCTGGGGATCCCAGGTTGACCCAGAGCCCATCAAATGGCTAGTGTAAATGTATTGTTGTCGCCGGGGGGGGCGGGGTGGAGTGGGTTTTGTACTGGGATTTTTATTTTTGAAAGCTGCCCAGAGTCACCGGGAGTGAGTTGGGCGGCCATGTAAATTGTTTAAATACATACATACATACATACATACATACATACATACATACATATTTCTGGTTACATCCACAGTTTAAGAATACTGACACAGAACTGTTTTCCAGTGGATATACTATACATCCTGTCTGCTAATTGCTTCCAGGAATTCAAAGAGCTGGTTGTCACTTTTGAAGGCCTACATGGCTTGGCTCCCAGGTACTTACAGACCCATTCATTTCATCAGGATCTGGCCCATCCCATGTGTTACTGCAGGAAAGGACTACTGAGAATCCCTACTGCACATAAAGTTATGTGGGATGATACCATGTCTTCTCTGGAGTTGCTTCTGTGTTCTGGAACAATTTGCCTCCTGAAAAAAGAACACTTCCTTGCCTTTTGCAAGTTCCTTAAAAGCTGTTTGTTCCATAGAGCATTCAAAGCCTCACAGTATGCAGGCTGCTAATAGATAAAAATAATCTGATGTTGTTAGCTCCAGTTCGTATTATATCTGTCAAGGCTGGAGGATGTTGGCGTGTCAGGATCTAACTAGATAAACTCAGCAGCCAAAGACCTTTTTCACCTTTTATTCATAACATTGCAAGATAAAAAATACTGGTTTCATTTTTAGCCATACAAGACTAATCACATAAGCAGCATTTGGCTTAAGCAAATGAACATAACCCACCCTGCCTGCATTTGATTTCAAAGTGAAGCTCGGTATGCCAAACAGCAATAACTTACTTTATGATGTTAAACTATTCCTACCATTCAGCAATTAACTAGTTCATTGTCTGCAAAAGTAATGTTTCTGTTGTTGTATCAGAGGGTCTAGTCTAACATGCAGCTATGGTAAATGCAGTTATGGTAAACAAGAGCTTTAACTACACTGGGCTAGCAATCTCTGAATGGCTAGCTATTTTCAGATCCTCTTCTCCCTCAAAATTCTGTGAAGGCTAAATCTCTTGAAGCATGGTTTTCCTTCATCTTCAGTGATCTTCCTTTAATCCTGGAACACTTCAGTGTTCTTAGGAACACCATGGAACAGGCAAATCTTCAGAGGTATTTCTTCCATTCTGGAACTGGCAAATCTTCAAAAGCCAATGCTGTCTAAATCTACCTTGCTTTTCCATCTACCTTCTTCTCCATCTCTCCAAAACCACCACAACAGTTCTCTTCCTGACAGTTCTTCAGCCATTTCAACTTTCTCTTCCTCTCTTAATATGAAAAACTTCATTATGTGCATGAAAACCTTAACTATTTCATTCCCAATTTTTCTCAGGCTTCAGCTTATCAGTTTCAAGCAGAGCCTGACTATCTCGGACCACAGGACAGAATGGCAGACAGCATTTAACTTTTGCATACTGTCAAAGTTTCTCTTCTGTTTTGTCAATCAACTTGAGTTTCCTGAAAATGTACAGTATATAAAGCCAGTAAATAAAGCCAGTAAATAAATAAATACCTCAAGACACTTACTTGTTTAGAAAAATTACTCTACAATTGTAACGAACATTCCGGTGCATAACAGGCCTGTAGAAATAAGAAATACCAATTATATTAAGTTATAAGTTTCCTTATTGGAAGTTGGATCCTTTATATTTCAAGGATCTAAACAGATTTTGGATTGCATTCAAATATCTTTTTCAAATGTCTTTTTTTACCACGTGCAAGATATATTTTTCATTTCTGTTTATCTATTAAGATCTCATATTGAGATAATCGAAAGTATATTCCACAATATCTATTTGCATTCCTGTCATGTACATAAGGAGGAGCCAGAGTTAACCTTTCAATCTACCTTCTTTATTTTATATACACACGAGTCTTTACAAGTTTACCACTGAAATCAAAGGATGCAATGCAAGTCTTACTCTTTCTAGAACCACCAAAACATCATGAAAATATGAATTGGTCTTTGTTCTAAAGTATCTCTTTATGCTTCACTGCACAGGCCTAACAAGTATCTGGATGTTAAATCACTTGAAGTAAATCACTGATGGTATCTTACTAGACTACCTATAATAGGAGGACTGGAGGCAGTTTTACAGGGTTCTACTTCTTCCTCACTAAGTAAATTCAGCCTTTAGTGGTGGAGCATGACAGGTCAGCCCAGTGGCCCCTGACTTAGTGGGTGCCACAGGGCTTGGTTTTCTCTCCCCTGGTTTTTAATATCTATATGAAGCCAATGGGAGAGGCTGCCCAACAGTTTGGAATGCCATATGATCAGTACGCTGATAATACCCAGCTTCACATCACTATCCCAGGCTGCAGGGGGGATGCTGTTGACATTTTATCCTGGTGCTTACAAGCTCCAAGGATTTGGATGGGAGAGAACAAGCTGAAATTGAACCCAAACAAGATGGAATTGCTGTTTGTTCACTGCAGTTCTCTTATCAAGGCCAGTGTTATGGTTTGCACTACTTGTGAAGGAGCAGGTTTGCAATTTGGGAATTCTTCTCTAGTCACAGCTCTTGCTCAAGCAGCAGGTGGAAGCCATGGTTGGAAGAGCCTTTGTCTAGCTTCAGCTGTTGGGTCAACTGTGTCCTTATCTAGTGCAGGGGGCCCTGGCTATGGTAACTCATGCCCTCATGAGTTACCATAGTCAGGTTAAGTACTGCAGTGCACTCTACATGAGGCTGCTTTTAAAGACTACTCAGAAACTATAGCTGGTCCAGAATACAGCAGCCCATGAGTAAACTGGTACCTGATGTTGAGAATCTGTAACATCAGTACTGCAGGCTGGCAATGGTTGTCGATGGGTTCCAGTTGCTCCTTGGAACAAACCATGACCCCAGAGCACACAAATATACTGACAACCACCATCAAGACCACATTCCTAAGACAAGCTGAGAAAAGAAAAACAAAACTTCAAACTAAACTGCTGAAACTAAACCCCAGAACCAAAGAGGTACTTGAACTTGAATGGGTAATCAACATGTCCAGCCAACCACTATCCACTGCAGAATACAATATCCTCCAGAAAGGTCTAAACTGCAACATGGACAACGCTAATCGGCTAGAGTTCTGTGCAGCCTTAGAAGCAGCATTTAAAACTACAGGACTTAACACAGAGACCCAAGAAAACATAAGGCAGACAATCATATCACAGATCAGAAGAAACTTAACACAGAGACCCAAGAAAACATAAGGCAGACAATCATATCACAGATCAGAAGAAACTTAACACAGAGACCCAAGAAAACATAAGGCAGACAATCATATCACAGATCAGAAGAACATAGAATCAGCACCAACTCAAAACAGATGACAGAGCAGTGCTCAAAAGCCTAAGGAAGGACCAAACCATCATCATCCTCCCAGCAGACAAAGGCTGAACCACTGTTATTACGGATAAATCACAATACTTGCAAAAAGCCAAAAAAGTATTAGGGGACAAAGAAATCTACATCCAAGTTAACACAAACCCAATACAGAAACTAGACAACCTAATCAAAAGAACCCTTAATGACCTAACCAAGAAAGGCCAACCAAAAGAAGAATAGTGGCGGATGAAAAGCAGTAGACCCATCCTCCCACATTTCTATGGACGACCAAAAATACACAAGCCCGACATACCTCTCCGACCAATTGTATCTTTACCAGGGATTCCAACATACAACACAGCAAAAGAACTGACAAAAAAGCTTGGACATCTCACAGAGAGGGGCAAATATTTTATCAATTCCTCACTATAGTACTTCCAGAAAATCAAAGATATACACATAGATGAAGATGAAATTATGGCCTCATTTGATGTCACAGCACTCTTTATATCCATAAACCCAGAACTAGTGAAAGAATCCATGTCAGTAGTACTACACAACACATCCAATCTAACCAAATACACCAAGATCGAAATACCCAGAAACATGGACCACATCAACCTCTGCCTCACTACCTATTTTCAGTTTGATGGACAAATATACCAACAAATCAGAGGCACATCTATGGGAACACCACTCTCAGAACTCACAGCAGAGGTTGTAATGCAATGCCTAGAAACTACAGCACTTTCACGCATACAACCAAAAGTTTGGATCCGGTATGCAGATGACACCTTTGTTATAATAAAAAAGGAACAACTACAGCAGACACATGAAACTATCAACAACATCTTCAAAGGAATAAAATTCACCAGAGAAGAAAACAACAACACGCTACCCTTCCTGGATATCCTCATCAGCAGAGGAAACAACAGC